AATGTACTTATTTTTTACGAGATATCTACTCGCAGGTGGATGAGGAACTGATGAAAGTAGCTGGGCCAAAAGCTTATTTTATGCATTGTTTACCGGCAGAAAGAGGTGTAGAGGTCACGGATGGTGTTATTGAAGCTCCAAACTCCATCGTCTTCCCCCAAGCTGAGAACCGGATGCATGCACAAAATGCCATCATGCTTCATGTGCTTGGAGTATGAAATTTTTTCTTTGTCAAGGGACTTCAATTGATCCATATCATTTAGTCGACCCTTTTTCCTGGTTCTTTCTTGGTGCAATTGGAAAACTTAGCCATGATGAGTTAGGGTGGTCATCTGCAGTTAGAGATTTTAGCTGACAATCGTGACACTTTTTCTTTTTTTCCTGGTTCAACTTTTCTGTAACCATATTTTATTGCTTGGATGATGAAATTTAGGGATCTTCCGATGTTGATTGTTGAGACCAAGAAGGTTAGAAAACAAAAAGGGTTTCTTATTCGCAAACGAAGTTGTGAATATATTTTAACCTATTAAAATTCATCTCCACGGTCCATCAATATTACTACGCATTGAAAAAAAAATCTAAACATTATTTGGAAAAATTACATAAAAACGTTTTTCAACTATCATTTTAATCTTTTCAATTAACTTTTTCTATCTCATATACATTATAAAAAATCAATAATTTCTTGGGCCGTTGGGAGGTCGAAAGTTCAATTCTTATTTTATTATATAATTGCTATTTGATTGTAGCTGTCATTTCAAGTGGCTTTTTCTGTTAGTCTCTTCGTCCTCTTCATTAAGTTAAAGTAGGTTATATAAATGTTATTATTGCGGCAAAAAAAATGAGTTAAAAATAGAAAAACCTCCTATGATATAGCTATTATACAGAAAAGTTCCCTATGGTTTCATATCATACGCATCGGTGCTCTATGGTTTGAATTATTTTGAAATGTCGACAGAAATCATCAAATATAAAGAGTTAGTATTAAATGCACTAGAAAAGCGTGTGTTTCTTGCGAAAAATAATTTTTTATCACAAATTTTCACCAGATATACCTATTGTACCCTTCACACTTTAATAAAAAGGTCATGTTGCTAGGCTGTTCGGCCAAAAGCATTTGCAAGCCGACAGGAAACAAAATTCTGAGTAATCAACCCGAGTTGCAAGCCAGCAAAGGAATTGCAGGAAACAAAGTCTTTGTACAAAATTGTACTTCTTCAACTTGAGCTTGCAAAGCATTTGCAAGAAACAAAATTGTACTTCATACTTCTTCTCTCTGTATATATTTTGCCCCCAAAAAGAAGATGAAGGGCGCTTGATTTTTTTGCCCCTAAATTGATCAAAGACAAATAACCAAACGAGAATTGTGGATAGCACCCACCATGAAGAGGTGATTTTTGGCCAGACGAGTTGCTCCGGATATCTGGAGTGTACACTGAGGATGGTCAGTTCGGCCCGGGTAGTCCAAAGGATCACCTCGGGCCTCGCGCTTGGGTCACCGTCCTCCAGCTCGGTCAACATCGTAGCCGAGGTGACTCTTGGGTGCTTGACTTCAATACCAAGGTTGGATGTGACCCCTGGCACCTCTGACACCTGACGGAAAGATACTCTGACACGCCGCCTGGACCTGACGGACATCCCATCATGTCTTATCCTAAAGATCAGTCAAATCCTCCGGATGCACTAACCATATTAGATCTCTAGGGACCTGTGATGGAGGTTCTCCCCTCCTAAACCTCTCCTATAAATACTCAACGCCACTACTCAGTGGGGGGGACCAATATCTGGTAAAATACACTCATCTCCTCTACTATCCTATTTTCCTTATTTCCGAACTGACTTAAGCTTCGGAGTTATACAGGGGGATTCAGCCCCTCTTGTAACCTTAGCAGGTGACCTCGCCGCGGTGACTCATTCGAGACAGGAACTTCCCTCAATCCGAAGGACCCACTCCGGCCGGTCAAAAATCACCTCTTCAATTGGCGCCGTCTGTGGGAACGTGGAAACATTAGAAAATGAAGCCTGCGCGTTCTAAGAGCAGAAAAGCTCTCACTATAGAGGCTGAGCAAAGCAATGCAGCTCAACCAGAGAATATTTTCGAAGGGCGGGAGCCCCCGAGGGCTCCGCCGCGAACGAAGAAGCCATAACTCGTATGGCCGAGTTCGTAACTAAGAATCCCAACATTTTCGAGGAATTGGGAAGATATCTCAAGAGGCAAGGCAAGCAAAAGGCCGAATCCTCCAAGAGGAAGTCAGATGGGTTTCCTGAAGACTCATCCGAAGAGGAGTCAGATGGAAGGCGCCTGAGCCGAAGTGCGTCGAAACGGGCTTTCTCTAAGGCCACCTCTAGGGTAGCCTCTATTACTAAGGCCTTTTCTCGAGGGCTCTTAGGGGGACGACCCGAGGAAGAGCCTCGGCCCTTGGGAAGACCTGTGGTGGATTACATGAGAGCCCCACCCTTCACTGACGATATCAATGAGGAAAGGCTTCCTCCAAATTTCAAACTTCCATCAATACAATCTTATGATGGCCGAGGTGATCCTGAGGATCACATCCATGCCTTCATCTCCGCTTTCCGTCTGTACTGCATTCCTGACCCTGTCATCTGCCGGGCTTTTCCCGTATTCCTCCAGGGCACAGCTCGAAAGTGGTTCGCAAGTTTGGAACCTAGGAGCATTTCGACCCTGGGGAATTAGTGGAGAGGTTTCTTCACCGGTTTATCTCCTCTCGACCCACCACTAGGACCTCGGCTTACCTGTTGAGTATGCAACAGAACCCGAGGAGTCACTTCGGTCGTACGTCCAGAGGTTCAATGAGGAAAGTGTGCAAATACCAGACCCCAATGAGCAGGTTACCATAGCTGCTTTCACCCATGGGCTCGTGTCCGGGGTATTCAATACGGGAATTCATAAAAAATATCCCCGCACCCTTCACGAGTTGTGGTCAAAGGTTGAGAAGGGCATACAAGCCGAAGACCTCAACCGCATGAAGAAGGAGGTCCAAGCTGCTCGTCCGAGAGCTGACACCCGGAAAGGGAAGGATCTCGGCCGAAGTGACGCAAAGGCGGAGGTGGTTTCCAAAGTCCTGGTCGGGACCGCCGCAGTGTGTTCGATAGGATCTCCAAGGGGAAAGCCCCCATCCCTAAGTCTGAGCTGACTCCACTAAATACCTCCCGATCTCAGGTGCTATCCGTAATGGAACAACACAACCTCGGGAAAGCACCCCCAAGATGAACGGTAGCCGAGACAAGAGGAACTCGAACCTCTACTGCTTGTATCACCGGGACATCGGGCATGAGACGGAGGATTGTAACGATCTAAAGAGGGAGATCGAGAACCTGATCCGACAAGGTCACTTAAAGCAGTTCATCCGCCGAGGTGATCAACGCCGGGACAACCGCCGTGACGGACGAAATGACCATCGCCGAGATGAACGGCGGACTTCACGCAGCAGTTGCCGACCTCCTGAGGGTCCTAGGGAAACCAAAAGGCCTCCCCCAGACGGATCATCAGGCCAGGGGTTGGGTTACGGACCAAATATCGCCGGGGTGATCAACACTATCGCCGGAGGACCGACGGGAGGGGATAGCCAAAACTCCCGGAAGAGGACTTACAGGCAAGCCAATCCGGAACAGGCCGAGTCGAGCTCTCGTCTGGCCGAGGTGATCACCTACGGACCCAGTGACCCCGTTCCAGCTGCCTCCAGCAGTCATGAAGCCTTGGTGATTGAAGTTCTCACCAACAACTATATCGTGAAAAAGGTCTACGTTGACCCGGGAAGTTCTGTAGACGTCATGTACCTGCGCACCTTTGAGAGCCTCAAGCTGGCCAGGGAGACCATGACCCCAGTAAGAACCCCCCTTGTAGGATTCGGGGGACACATTGTGCACCCCGAAGGGATGGTGACTTTGACGGTGACCGTAGGACATCACCCCCACTGCAGAACCATCCCCGTTAACTTTGTAATAGTCAAAGCCGACTCGCCCTATAATCTACTCCTGGGTCGACCTACATTTAATGCTCTGCGAGCAGTATACTCCACCTATCATTTAAGTTTCAAGTTTCCCACTCCTGCTGGGGTGGCCGAAGTCGGCAGTGATGTCTGTGCCGCACGAGAATGCTACCTCGCCACTCTACAGGCAGCCTCTCCCTCAACCTCCGAAGTGAGGGCCGAGAGAAGGTCAAATATCCTCTCGATTGACAGCATCGATCTTCGGCGGGCTGAGAAGGCACCAAGGCTAAAGACTGGGGATGAAGTGGAAGAGTTCCCTCTGGACCCCACGAAACCCGATCAGACGGTGCGAGTTGGTACCCGATTACCCAGGCTCGTCAAGAAGGGGATGTTGGATCTTCTCAGAGATTACCGGGACATCTTTGCCTGGAACTCAGAGGAGGTCCAGGGGGTCCCACATCACCTCATGATACATGAGCTGAACGTCGACCCCCAGATCCGCCCGGTCAAACAAAAAAGAAGGCACCTCGGCCCCGAGCGTAGCCGAGCTGTAGGAGAAGAGGTGGACAAGCTTCTCCCTGCCAAAATCATTCGGAAGGTTCAGTACCCGACCTGGCTGTCTAACCCGGTCATGGTAAAGAAGGATACCGGGGCTTGGAGAATGTGCGTTGATTTCACTGACCTCAACAAAGCCTGTCCCAAGAACTGCTACCCACTACCCAAGGTTGACACCTTGGTAGACTCAGCAATGGGCTATGAGGTCCTTTGCTTTTTCGACGCCTTTAAGGGGTACCATCAGATCGGAATGAGCCCGAAGGATCAGGAGAAGACCGCCTTCTACACCGATCGAGGCACCTACTGTTACACCACAATGCCTTTCGGACTAAAGAACGCCGGGGCCACGTATCAACGCTTGGTAAACCAGGCTTTCAAGTTCAGATCGGCCGAACTGTCGAGGCCTACGTGGATGATATCCTCCTCAAAAGTCGTACCACCACCACATTTCTTGCGGACCTGAAAGAAGTTCTGGAAGTCTTTCGAAAGACGCGAATGATGTTGAATCCCAAGAAGTGTATCCTGGGGGTCACTTCGGGAAAGTTCCTGGGCTATCTTGTTTCCCGACGAGGGATTGAAGCGAATCCAGACAAGGTGAAGGCAATTCAAGAAATGTCCCCACCTCGGTGCGTCCGCGATGTACAGAGGCTCACAGGGCGGTTGGCTGCCCTGAACCGGTTCCTATCGCAGTCCGCATCTAAGGCCCTACCATTTTTTAAAGTTCTCAAAAAGGCCAATAACTTCTCCTGGACTGAGGAGTGTCAGAAGGCATTTGAGCAGTTAAAGGAATACCTCTGCCGCCTCCCAACACTCACCTCACCTCGCTCCGGGGACAAGTTGTTCTTGTACCTGTCCGCCGCCGCCGAAGCGGTAAGTGCCGTGCTCATAAGGGAGGAAGGTGTCCAAACACCTGTGTATTATGTCAGCCGAGTTCTCCGAGATCCGGAAACCAGATATACTCAAGCGGAGAAGCTCGTGCTAGCCTTGATTCACGCAGCTCGAAGGCTCAAGCCTACTTCTTGGCTCACCACGTCTGCTTGAGGACAGACCAGCCGCTCCGGCAGGTCTTGTCACGACCGGAGGCCTCTGGGCGCCTCACCAAGTGGGCCATCGAGATGGGGGAATACGACTTATCCTATGAACCGCGCAAGGCGATTAAAGCTCAGGCCCTCGCAGACTTCCTTGCCGAGCTCACTTTTGACCAGGTGCAGGTGGCCACCCCGGCTACTATCCAGGCTCCCACTCCGTCCACCCCCGAGACTCAGCGCTGGATCTTACATGTGGACGGCTCGTCCAATAGTGGGGGAAGTGGAGCCGGGCTGCTCCTCGAAGATCCCCAAGGAGATGTGTGCTCATACGCTCCAAGATTTGACTTCGCAGCCTCTAATAATGAGGCTGAGTACGAAGCGGTTATAGCCGGACTGCAGCTTGCCCGTAAGCTCGGAGCCGCGCACATTCTAGTCTACAGTGATTCTCAGCTCGTCGTGTGTCAAATACTAGGCGAATACGAGGCCAAGGAGGAGGCAATGCAACGTTACCTCTCCAAAGTCCTTCAGCTGGTGGCTCACTTCGAGTCTTTCGAAATCCAGAGAATCCCGCGATCGCAAAACAGGAGAGCCGATGCTCTCTCCCGGCTTGCTTCGACCTCTTTTGCCGACCTGAACAAGACTGTTCTCGTCGAAGTCTTAGCCGAGCCGGGGTATGAAGGAGGAGAAGTGTACCCCATTTACTCCGAGGACACCTGGATGGGACCACTAGTTCGATTCCTCGGCCAAGGTGAACTCCTCGAAGACCGAGCTGAGTCACGTAAGCTTCAACGTAAAGCAGCTCGGTACACTCTTCGACAAGGCCTCTTATACAAGAGGTCCTACCTCGGCCCCTAGTTGCGGTGCATCACCCCGGAAGAAGGCAACAGAATTCTTCAAGATATTCACGAGGGACTCTGTGGTGCTCATGTCGGTTTCAGGATGCTGGTGAAAAAAACTTTATTACTCGGGTACTTCTGGCCCACCATGAAGATGGACGCCCAGGTCATGGTCCTTTGTTGCCCCTCTTGTCAGCACCATGCTCCTGAGCACCACCAGCCGACCAATTTAATGATTCCTATCACCTCCCCCTGGCCCTTTGAGCAATGGGGAACTGATATAATCGGCCCCTTCCCAATGGCTCCAGGTAATTATGTCTACGTGGTGGTAGCAGTAGACTACTTCACTAAATGGGTCGAAGCAGAATCCCTGAGAAGCATTACCGGAGTGGCTGTCAAAAAATTCTTCTGGAAAAACGTGGTTTGCCGCTTCGGCCTTCCTCGGGTGATCATCTCGGATAACGGCCGGCAGTTCGCCGACAACCCTTTTAAGGCCTGGTGTGAAGAGCTCGGGATCAAATAACATTTCACCTCGGTCGGACACCCCCAAGCTAATGGACAAGCCGAAAATTTTAACCGAACCCTCCTCCATGGCCTTAAGACCAGGCTCCACCGGGTTGGGTCGTCATGGATGGAAGAGCTTCCTAGTGTGCTGTGGTCATACCGAACTACGCCGAGGTCGGCCACCCAAGAAACCCCTTTTTCCCTCACTTATGGATCTGAAGTTGTCGTTCCGGCTGAGTTTATTACACTCAGTCCACGGATGGCCGCATATGCTGCAGAAATCAACGAAGAGGAGCGGCGAGTTGACCTCGACCTTGCCGAAGAGAAGCGCGATATAGCCGCAGCCAAGGTTGCTACCTATAAAAATATCCTAGCTAGCTATTACAATGCTCGGGTCAAACACTTAAGATTCAGTCCGGGAGATCTCGTACTCCGGAAGAATTCAGTTAGCCGAGCTGAACCTCAGGGAAAACTTAACCCCAAATGGGAGGGACCCTACCGCGTTGTTGAGTCCAGCCAAAATGGATATTGTAAGTTAGTTTACCGAGATGGTTCGCGAGTGCCCCGAACTTGGCACGCTGAGAATCTTAAGATGTATTTCCCTTGAAGGGTACGTATTGTCGAATCTCATTCCATTGTTATTTCTCACTTATTCTCCTTTATCTTAAGTAAAAAATAAGGGGACAAAACAGTAGCCAAAAGAAGAAAAACAAGAGAAAACCGAATTCAATTAGCAAAAACATGTGAGAAAAGCCAATTACATTGAAGTATGAAAGAGCAATAAGCCGAAGTCATATGTGACCTCGGCTCAAGGGCACAAAAAATTGACAAAGCGAGGTCATCCATGACCTCGGTACACCTATTAGTCCGCCTATTACAAAAATGGGTGCTCCTAAGCACTCTGGCCTACAGTTTCACCCCCACCTCGGCGTCTTGCTGGGCCTTAGCTCCTTCGCCGGCCTGACCTCCTTCAGCCTCTTTACTGGTTTGACTCCCTTCAGCACTATCCCCATCTAGTTCAGATTCTAGGAGCCATTTGTTGAACTCGGCCCGGACCTCGGTTAGGTCCTTCCCAGCCTGAATGCCCTCAGCTATGCGGTCGCATAGCTCCTTGGCATCCTCGTTGTAGTGTGAGGTGCTCTGAAAGGACTCTAGCTGCTCAGAGGAGAGGAAGGGTGTCGCCTCGGTGATGGCCGATGTGTAACCTAGCATGAAACTCGGCCTTGAGAGCTCGCCGAGATCACGAACGAAGGACTCGGACCTGCGGAACGCCTCTACGGCGGAGACCCCGGCTGCGTTTATTGCCTCCAGATTTGACTGCTCTTGTTGAGCCCTTCTTTGCTTCTCCTCGTCAAGCGCGGTGAGCAGGGAGTTGTTCTCGACCACGGCTTTCTCCCTTACTGCCTCGGCTTTATCCCGTTCCTGCTCGGTGGCCTTCAGCTTCTCCTCCAGGTCGGCAATTTTCTTCTGAAGCTCGGAGGGTGGCTCATAGGTCTCGATGAAGTCCCCGAAGCGCTGATACATCTCGGCAAGGAACGCCGTGGTGGAAGCCCAGGAGACCGCGGCGCCCTGCATCAGCTCGTCTGGCTTGAGCTTCCTGGTGTAAGTGTTGTCCCGCGGAAGGACTGAGTTTACCAGAAGCTCGTGCGCGACCTGGGGATTCTTACAACGGTCGTTCACATTAACCTCCCACTCCGGGCAAAATTGTGCCCCGGAGTGCCTTTTGTCTTCCCCGGCTTCAAGAAAGGATACGTGATGGAGGTTGAACAAGGAGTTCCCCGTAATAGGGTGTTCCTGGAGCACGGTCGCACCCCGGCCTCTTCCCCGAGGTGGAGAAACCAAGGTCACTCCACGGGAAGGAATCCTGTCGGAATGGATGACTTGGATCTCCCAGCCGTGCCCGAGGTGTGCGAGCCTTCGCCTACTATCACCACAGCGGGCTCACGAGTGCCCGCTGTTGCCGTAGTCTTCTTGCCGCCCTGGAAGAGGTCTCGGCAGCGTCCTTGCGCTTCTTTGATGGCCTCTTCGCCACCTCGACCTCTCCCGAAATAATTATGTCGGAAAGTTTTGTCACTGCAAAGGGTGAAACAAAGTCAGTTAGAATTCAGGGAGGGGGAACAAGAAAAGGAAAATGGAAAAGTACAAGGTATATGAAGCCTAGTGGAGATCAGGATGGGGTGATCCGGGCTGATCAAGGCTCGACTGAGCCCTCCTTCCACGAGCATGTTCTCAGGAAAGTCCCAGCAGTTGATTTTTAGGCCCGACCCCGTCAGCTTTTGGAAGTTACGTTCCTCTAGTTTCCCCGGGGAAGTCTCTTTGACCGAAGTGGGAGGCCTCCACCAGAATCCTCAGGAAAGTCCTCAGGCCGGGACGAACATGAAGTTCCTTTTCCACTCCTTTATCGAGCTCGGCGCATCGTACACCAACTTCGGGACCTTATTCCCGAAGTAAAACACCCTTCTCACTCCCGCTATTCTTAAGTGAATAGCAACGACGGAAGAGTTGACGGTGGGTTCGATCTTCTGATGTCGGCAGAGCAATTGGAAGCCGACTAGGACCCGGATCGCGTTCGGGGTGAGTTGAGTGATCCTCACCCCCAGTACCTCAAGCAATCCCGGAGAAACCTTGTGGTGGGCATTCTGAGCCCGGCCTCCAGCTGATCAACGTATACCGCCACCCTCCTTTTGGCGGCAGGGCGGCAGATTGGTCCGGCTGAGGTACGTAAATGCTGTAGTCCCTTCTCCAGGGGTATTTACGTATCACCCCGGCCACAGAAGCTTCCGACATAGCACTGCGGAAGGCTGGCATGTGACCGTAGTTCATCGTTGCTACATTAGGAGGAGTGGAAGGCTCCTGCACGCCTTCATCTTTAGGAACCTCATTCCCGAGGTCGTCGTTATACAGGACCTCGGGATCAACCTCGATCTCGTCGGCCTGTTCCTCCAAAGTTTCAGCTCGGTGAGACGCCTCCTCACCTCCGTCCCCGGTGCCAACTGTATGTTCTTCCTCGGAAGGGTCGGGCCTCTCTGCCTCGGTGAAGTTGGGTCTCACTGTTTCTTTGTGGGTATGAGCGACTCTAGCCATAAGGGCAGAAAAAAGAAGTGTACTTACTAGGGAATGCGAAGTGAAGAAGTTGTGGAGGATAATTTGTAGAAGATTGCCGAAGTGAAGCGACGAGGAGGCAGAGCTCTGAAGTGATTTTCGATTTTTAGTAGAGAATAAGACGGTGAAAAAGAACCCCTATTTATAGACAGCAGAGGGAAACCGAAGAGTCGGCACCCTTCGAACTTCCTACAGCATCCGTTCTCTCTCCTCATTAATGAGGATCCTGTTCATCTGACGGTTGATTTTACGGATTCGACGTTAAACTGACAGCCATCTTTTCACCCCCTTCTCAAGTCCACACAAAGTCGACGTGCCCCTGCTGTGTCCCGTGTGATACACGCTCGTTAGCCTCGGGAAGGTACGACCTCGGATAGCAACGACTTCGCCCTTCTCGAAGTTTGGGAGGCTAGTGAGGATGGTCAGTTCGGCCCGGGTAGTCCAAAGGATCACCTCGGGCCTCGCGCTTGGGTCACCGTCTCCAGCTCGGTCAACATCGTAGCGAGTGACTCTTGGGTGCTTGACTTCAATACCAAGGTTGGATGTGACCCCTGGCACCTCTGACACCTGACGGAAAGATACTCTGACACGCCGCCTGGACCTGACGGACATCCCATCATGTCTTGTCCTAAAGACCAGTCAAATCCTCCGGATGCACTGACCATATTAGATCTCTAGGGACCTGTGATGGAGGTTCTCCCCTCCTAAACCTCTCCTATAAATACTCAACGCCACTACTCAGTGGGGGGGGACCAATATCTGGTAAAATACACTCATCTCCTCTACTATCCTATTCTCCTTATTTCCGAACTGACTTAAGCTTCGGAGTTATACAGGGGGATTCAGCCCCTCTTGTAACCTTAGCAGGTGACCTCGCCGCGGTGACTCATTCGAGACAGGAACTTCCCTCAATCCGAAGGACCCACTCGGCCGGTCAAAAATCACCTCTTCATACACCAGATTGGGGGAGTAGCTAATCGAGAATTACCTGCTGGGATGGTTAGATACAAGACTAGATCCCCGAGTCTTCCTTAAAAAATTAAGTTAGTTCGGAGTAATGTATTAATGTGGGAGTAATTCTAGAGGGATTAGGCTTTTTACCAGAGATTTGTCCTCCTTCTTAGTGGAATATTCTGCTATTTATAGGGGGCAATTTGGAGTAAAGGACTATGGGTCCAGGTCCCTAGAAATTGGATTAAGACAGCATATCATTTTGACCTAACCACTCTGGGCAGTGGGCAGTGTGTCAGAGCAGTGGACAGTGTGTCAGAGGTAACATCCATTACTATTCGGTTGTCAAATCCTTGGATAGGACCTCGGGTGTAGTAGATCATAACACTGTCTCGAGTGACAGTGGGATGGCAAACACACCTCGGTCATCGAGATGTTGGGCAAGGCCCAGGTGGTCGAGATGGATGGGACCATTATTCTGGACTAAGATGCCGCCTCAGTTTATCCGAGCCGAAATGACCATCTTCACACCACATCACTGTTTTGTCAGTGGTCCAATTTCTGTTGCTGGCTACTCATCAGCAACTGTCTTCAGCTCCGCCCTCCGCGGCTGTTTACACCATCGCCTAAGGCAGTAGCGATTCTCATTTTAACACTTTCAAATTCAGATTTCTGACAAGAAATTTGTATTCCACCAGGATGATCAAACCCATGAACCTTTTCAGCCTCCCTTAATAAGTCAGCAAACAGAGATTGATTAAAATAAATAATGGGCACAAGAACTCTGCACGTCTCATCATCATCTTGCCCCACGTACACAGCCAAATGCCCCTTGGGTATACTCACTGAATTCTTTGACTGAGACAGCGAGTTCTTGACGGCTCTTATATTGCCCTTATTGGTAAGGATAAGGAAAGAGAACTTCAACAACAGTAGTAGCGGCCAAGGAATGAAAGTGCTAAATTA